CCGGGATGGGGGGGGGCCGCGGCGGGGAGAAATGCAGAACCCCCAGCGCAGACCGTGAGTGTGGAGCAGGAGTTGAACTCAGAATTCAGCAACTCCGAACCCTGGAGTCCTTCTGCTGCCCACACCTCTGCCCAGCTCCCACACAGCACTGAGTATGTGGGGCCATGCTGCCGAGTAAGGACTCAAGCCTGAGTCTTTCCTGCTTTCTCTAGCCAGAATGCCCTCTGCTAAAGAATGGGCTGGGTGTTGGTCGGGACAGCCGCATCTGGCAAGAGAAACGTGAGGCCTGTACCAAGCCTGACACTTGTGTGCATCCATAACCCCATGCTCACGCTCCTCCTCTGCCAGGGACCACATTCCCCCTTCCCTTGGCCTTCCTGGGGGCATCCCACGAAGGACCATGTTTCGCTTATTGCTATATCCCTGTATCTGGCCCGATGTCTGGCACAAAAGAGACTCACAGTAATCGCTCACGGTGGAACTCAAATGTCTCTCCAAACTCCCTTTCCTCGGGGCCTTGGGTTTTTATTTCATAGAGTGAGTTTTCCAGAAGCTTCTCTACCTTCTCTTGAAGATAACGAATGTGCTCTTTCCAGCCACTGATTCACTTGAGCTTCACAAAACACTTTATAGGGGGGTGCTATTAGAGCAACAGGTCACAGCTAAGAAAAATTAGCCACAGGAAGTTAAATGACTTGCCTGAGGTCACCAGTAGAAAGCATCGTCAGGCCCAGGATTTGGTCTGGCAGCTCTCGCCAGAGTCTGCTCTTAGCCTCTGCCCCTCCCAGTCTCCCAGGGGACCTGCCTTATAACAGGCACCATTTTCTTTAACACTGGTGGGATGAGAGCTGCCACTTCTGGTTTCTTCTCTGGCCTGGGGGCCCTAGCTTTCCCCTGCTCCTGTGAGCCAAGCTCCAGGCCTGCAGAGGCCGGCTCTCAGCAGTGGCTCACGCCACCCCTCCCCTTGCTGTCAACTGCACAGACCATTTTAGGGGTCCACTCTCCTGGGAGAGATGCTGCCCTCTCTTAGTATGCCTGGAGAGTGGGCCGGGAGGGGAGGGGGACTTTTAGTCCCTGCCTGGGCTGCTGGGGGGAAGGGTGACTTCTGACTTGCTGGCTTTGACAACAGGGAGGGAGACTGCTTTGGCAGGATTCATGGCTCCACCCTCTATGTCCCTTTGCCTATGAGCTCGGGGGGGGGGGGGGGGGGGGG